TAGTCAGTGGGTAACACAGAGTCTGAGGAGGCACACAACACCTTAACAGGTCCATGGATGCAACCGGCCCCACACTGTGGAGACCACGAGAGAATCTCGGCTGACCCCCAATTAAAGGTCGGATTGTGCTTCGTAAGCCAGGGATATCCCAAAACCACGGAGTAGTGCGGAGAATAAATTACCTGGAAACAGGCCAACTCCCTGTGAACAGCCCCAATAGCTTCTTCAACCGGCAGGGTCTCGTGGGTAACCTGCGGCGGTTGAGGGGCCTGCCATCTATCGCCTCGAGAACCAATGGAGTAACTCAAGCCTGCAGAGAAATGGAGTACTGGGCAGCAAACGAGTTGTCCATAAACAACCCGCCAGCACCAGAGTCTACCAACGCCTGGGCCATCACCAAGCCTTCCGCCCAAGAGAGGACAATGGTGATTAGCAGTTTATCTTTGCGGGACACCGGGGACAAGGAAACTCCACCCAAGATCTGCCCCCGACAGGATCTCAGGTGCGAGCGTTTCCCGGACGGACCGGACAGGACTGCTGAAAATGCCCACCGAGACCACAGTACAGGCAGCAACCCTCCCGACGCCGAGAGGCCCGCTCCCCCTCGGAAAGGCGAGCAAACCCCAGCTGCATGGGCTCACCGCCAGACAAGCCATCCCCAGGAGGTGTAGGAGGAGAGGAAGGAATGGGTGGGACAGAAAACATAGGAGCCAATCGGTTAGGAGGCCTCCGCAGACGCTCCTTAAGTAAAGGCCTCTCCCTGAGCCTGGTGTCAATCAGGATTAGGAAGGAGATGAGTGCTCCGAGCTCCACAGGCAGTTCTTTGGCTGCAATCTCGTCCTCCAACGCCTCTGAGAGACCATGAGAGAAAGCAGCCACCAGAGCCTCATTGTTCCAACCCATCTCTGCCGCCAGGGTACGAAATTCTATGGCGTACTCGGCAACGGTCCGTGAACCATGATGCATGGACATGAGCAGCTTGGCAGCAGAGACGGAGCGAGCAGGCACATCGAATACCCTACAGAAGGAGGCAACAAAACGGGCAAACCCGTGAATCACAGGGTTATCGTTCTCCCATAAGGGATTTGTCCAGGCCAAGGCCTTGTCCGAGAGCAGTAAGATTAGGAAGCCCACCTTTGACCTCTCAGTAGGAAAAGCGTGGGGTATCAACTCAAAATATATGCCCACTTGGTTAAGGAAACCCCGACACTGACTCGGCTCACCCCCAAAGCGCTGTGGAAGGGGGGCTGAACCAGTCAAACCTCTAGGCACCGCAGGTGCAGCAGCAGATGCAGAGGTAGGCGCAACAACCAGGGCAGCAGGGGGAGTGACCACAGGAGTGACCAGGAGCAAGGTGTAATTGCACCAGGAGCAAGGTGCGCTGTGTGTGTAAGCAGCGTCTGCAACGCCTGAGCGAACTGATCCAACAAGAGATCCTGCTGATCAAGTCTGGCAACTAACATAGGGAGCGAGGGCGTACCTGCACCGTCAGGATTCATGGCATTCGTGTAGTGTCAGGGAGCGAGGAGCCAGACACAAAAGGATGTGCAATTAAAGGTAGGTTTATTTACACAGAAACAAGGCAAGAGTCTATGCAAGTCCGACAGCAACAGCGAATGACTTGGTAGGACAGAAGTTCTCCTGCCGAGGTTGTCTTCCAGGATAATCAAGTCGAGAACCAGCGGGAATCGTAGCCAAAGCCGGGGTCAGAAGCCAGGAAGAGTGGTCGCCAGAGCTGGGGTCAGAAGCCAGGAGGAATGGTCTCCAGAGCCAGGGTCAGAAGCCAGGAGGAGTCTTTGCCAAAGCCGAGTCGGTATCCAGGAGAGCAATGAGTTAACTGAACAGGAGCTTGCTGCTGTGCAACAGACAGGACACAAATGCAATGGACAGCTACAAACAGCAGACTTAAATGTGAAAAGCCGCCACCTCCTGGGAGGAGCCGCAGAGGGCTGAAAGCATAAAGGATCCCACAATACTTTGCAGACACCTAAGATGGATGCCAGCACATGGAGCAGCACAAGCCCTGAGGAAAGGTAGGACCTTGACACCTAGTGAGGGATCAACCCCTTGTCAAGAAGTGCTTCTACCCAGGCTTTAAACCTCTTGCTTAAAACCTGTATATCAACTTGTGCCTTAAAGCAGCACTACCTAAGTTGAATACCACTGAAAGGGATAGTGCCTGTGTTTGCATAAATCCTTTTGAGGGACTTCCATCTGTTGCAACCAAGGAGATCTGAATTCTTGTAGCGCACCAAGTGGGCCCCAACAAGCATGCAGAAGATCTTCCACTGCAGTTAAAGGGACATTAGTCTTCCTAATTCAAGAACTCTTTCCTTATTCCAGGCTTGAACCTGGCTGTCAGCTTCTGAGGGCCCAAAGTGAACTAGCCTTACTCTTTAATAGTTCTCCTTTGCTCACTGGGGACTTTTGGTTAAATTCTGAATTGCAGGACGTCCGAAACTGTCTGAGATTTTTGCTATATGTGTGTTGACCTTTGCTTAAAGTTACTAAGAGTGAAAACTGTTATTATTTTGCGCGCCTATACGTTTGTGCTGTTTTCCTGTGCTCATTTGCAACTTTAATATAAACAAAGTATCCATTCACTTTAACTGCTTCTGTGCCACCCCATAGCAGAAGTACTGCACGGGTGCACAAAATCACGTATATATACGTAACTTTGCAGGTCCGGGTAGGGGGTTCGCGGCCTGGACTGTCAATCACCAGTGGGTGATTCCCCGCCGGCACCCGGCGATCTACGAGGATTTCCAACGGGGGAGAGACCTGCATGTAAACAATACAGATCTCTCTCCTGTCAGCTCCTGCACACTGCTTTGTATGGCTCTGCATAGCAGAGCCATACAAAGCAGTGTGCTTACAGTGAAGCACAAACACAGCCCATATAGTAAAACAGTACACAGCACACAGTTAACCCATTGATCACCCCATATGTTAACCCCTTCATGCCCAGTGCCATTAGTACAGTGTCAGTGCTTTTTATTAGCACTGATCACTGTATTGGTATCACTGAGGATGTGAGTGACACCAAGTCAATTCCCCCCAGTGTCAGAATGTCCCGCTATAAATTGCTGATCGCCGCCATTACTAGTAAAAAAAAAAAATTCCAGTATATACTGTATACCGCCATTTGTAAATGCTATACCTTTCACGTAAACCAATTAATTTACACGTATTGGGATTTTTTTTAGCAAAGATATGTAGCAGAATACATTTTGGCCTAAATGTATGACGAAATTTGATTTTTAAAATTTTTTTACTGGACATGTTTTATAGCACAAAGTCAAAAATAGTTTTAAAAAAAATGTTTGGTTTTTTTTTTGTTTATAGCGCAAAAAAACACACAGGCGATCAAATATCACCAAAAGAAAGCTCTATTTGTGTAAAAATAAAGAACATAAATTTCATTTGGGTGCAGCGTTGCATGACCACGCAATTGTCAGTTAAAGTAACGCAGCGCTGTATTGCAAACAATGGCCGGTCAGGAAGGGGGGTAAATCCTCTGGAGGGCAAGTGGTTAACTTGTTTGTGAGTCTTTTTTTCTGGTAGCATTGAGAGAATTTATTCTGGCCAGAAGTGTACGGTGGTATCAGCAGGTGTTGGGCTGTCAGAGTGGGGTCAAGAGTGACAGGGAGCCCGAAAATAACTCAGCGACCCTTAAGGGGGTTATGCTACACCAGCATATATATTTTAGAAGCATTTTCAGGAGTTCCACATTAACACCCCCATACACTAGGACTACGGCCTCTGAAATACATTAGAAATCTCTTTAGCATGTATTTGCAATATAAACAGATCTATGTATGTTCTTGGCTCATGAAATATCATAATAAATATCTTTAGAACACATCTAATGATAACATTTTCTTTGCAGTGATGAATAGCACGGAGCCTGTTGTTACAGATCTCACAACAGACCCATCAAGGGTGCAAGTCATATATTAAAGGAACTCTGTCATTATGACGACACTGGGGAATTCCAAACAATTCCAGCCCTGTAATCCTGTAAGACAACAGCTGTGGGTTTGTGTCCTTTCCATAGAGCTGACCCTGATGTCCAGCATTGCACAGTGCTGTCTATGTGCTGGCAGCAACAATCGGCCAGATCAACTTTCATCTAGTAGTGACAACAGAGACGCTTCTAGAGTTTCACCAGGATCCCCCACTCCGCACACTTTGCTCTTGCCCATTTTCCATGCTACAGGGAATCATTTCTCAGGAGAATTATTATTATTATTGTTATACAGGATTTATAGAGTGCTAACAGCATTACAAAAATGTGGTAAAATTTTTGAAAAAAAAAAAAGATCTCGTCGGGGCCATTGCAAAAGACTATCACAGACCCTCACAGTCTCTGTCTACTCACTTCACAAATTGTTTATTTATTTTTTTAATCTTTTTTTTTATTTTAACCACTTGCCTACAGGGCACTTATACCCCCTTCCTGCCCAGTCCAATTTTCAGCTTTCAACGCTGTCACACTTTGAATGACAATTGCACTGTCATGCAACACTGTAAATTTTTATATTTTTTTGAGACAGATAGAGCTTTCTTTTGGTGGTATTTAATCACCTCTGGGTTTTTTATTTTTTGCTAAACAAACCAAAAACAACTGAAAATTTTGGAAAAAAAAAAACATTTTTTTCTTAGTTGTTGTTATAAAATTTTGTAAATAAGTGATTTTTATCCTTCACTGATGTGCGCTAATGAGGCTGCAGTGATGGGCACTGATAGGCTGCACTGATGGACACTGATAGGTGGCACTGATGGGCACTGATGAGGAGGCACTGGTAGGTGGCACTGATGGGCATTGACAGGCATCACTGATGGACACTGAAAGGCAGCACTCATATATGGCACTGATAGGTGGCACTGATAGGCGGCACTGGCTGGCACTGATAGGCGGTATGGATAGGCAGCACTGATGGGCACTGATAGGTGGCACTGATGCCCACTGATAGGTGGCACTGACTGGCACTGTTAGGCAGCACTGACTAGCACTGATAGGTGGCACTGACTGGCATTGATAGGTGACACTGACTGGCACTGATAGGTGACACTGAAAGACAGCTCAGATGGGCACTGATATGTGGCATTGATGTGCACTGGTAGGCACTGATAAGTGGCATTGATGTGACACTGATGGGCACTGGCAGGTGTTATTGATGAGCACTGACAGCTGGCATTGATGGACACTGACAGGTGTCACTGCTGGGGCTACACTGATCATCAGGGCACACTGATCATCAGTGCCCTGATGATCAGTGCCCATGTCCCCTCTGAGGAATGCCAATTACTAGCTCTCCACTCCTCACGAGCTGTCAACGTGACAGCTCACGAGGAGAGGAATGCCGATAACCGGCATTTCCCTATTTACATGCGATCAGCTGTGATTGGACACAGCTTATCACATGACTGAGCTGACATCTTCGGCTCTTTTCATTGATCGGTGATCCGCTGTGTCCATGGGATCCGCTGTGTCCGCGCGCATGCGCGGTTAGAGTGGGAGGTTGTCATATGAGAATGTCACTTGCTTGGCATCGCCGTCATTCACAGAACAGAATTTTTTCAATACAAGGTGTTGTCTGATTGGACAAGATGAACATCATAACATCACTGTCCTGCCTCTCCACCTTGTCCAATCAGAGAACACTTTGTATTCATTCAAAAAATTGTGAATGGCTGTAGTGCCTCCTGTAATCCTTGTCATAGCAGGTGTCAAACTGGAAGAGGGAAAGGCAGCACATTCAGGGAAAAAAAGCTGGCATAGAAAGCTCAAATTCTACCAGATTATAGCTATGGGTGTAGGTGACCCTGTTGGCACCACCACAAAAGACAGTTGTTCAGTTGACTTCTGTCAAAAGAGCGAACAGTGCCAATATCCAATCAGATGCAGCCACTATTCTAACAGCTGCAAGTCTCGGCAGGGGAGATTTCACGATGGAGAAATCTGTTTGAAAAAAATAGTTTTTACTTAACATTTTTTTTTCCATCACATAGGGGACACAAAGTCCCCTATGTGATGATTTTTAGGTGACAGGTTCTCTTTAATGAGACATGCAGGGTCTAAAAGACCCTGGATGTCTCCCCTGGGCTGCACTGGATGTATTGCAATGCAAATCGCATTGCAATATGTTCCTCCCCGGCTATTCTAGTCTGGATAATGGACAGCAGTGACCCAGAGGTGACACCATACACGTCGCTTTCTGGGTCACAGCAAAAGGGGAAGAGAGTAGACATGTTTCCACTCTCCTCTCTCCCCTCCACTTGCTGGCACCCACCATGTCGGCCCCTCGCAGACAGGCAAGTGAAGCCCAGAATACATAGCGGGAGCTCGCGCATGGGGAGGCACGTTCCCGGGGGCTGTGGAAGCAGTCTGGGCAGTGCACTGACTGCTTCCACCTGACAGGCAGGTATCTGCATGTCAGTTTTAGACACAATCCCGGTGGATGCAGCCACTGGATTGTGTGTAAAATCCGCCGCTGTTAGGTCTGTATGATATACAGACCTGGCAGCGAAAGGGTTATGGCTCCACTGTACTGTAACACTGTGCTATGCGCAGCCATCCAAAGCAGTGTGCTCGAGCTGACAGGGAGGAGGACTGTTAGTAAACAAAACAGTCCTTCTCCCCGTCGGAGATGCTCGGTAATCACCAGGTGCCGATGGGTTATCACCAGCCAGGACCCGGTGATTGACAGCCTCGGCCACAAACGCGCCCCCTACCCAGAAATGCAAAATCACGTATATATGTATGTGATGTTGCGCACCCCTGCCACCCTGTAGCAGTATATCTGCTATAGGGCGGCGGGAAAGCGGTTAATTGAACAAGCTGAGGTTAGAAGTTGATTGCTTTCTATGCTGAAGTGAGCCTGATTTTGCACTCTCCAGCTTTGGTAAATAAACCCCAGGCTGTAAATGGACATCAACCTCTCACTAAGTTCATGTGAAGCCCCACCACTTCCGGTGCTGAAATTCAGCTGTCAAATACAAGAACCTCTACTGCCCAAGTTATGGCATTTGCTGTACACAATGTAGGTTCAGGCAGTTGACAAGTAGCCATTTTCAGAATCTAGGGACCCCTGACACCCTGAAATTCCAGCTATGCTTCTGTAAGTTTGCAATTTCTTCAGAAATTTCCATCCATGATACTCAACATGTGTAGCAGCAATCAGTATCTTGCATTGAGAGACAGATTCAGAAGCAATTTTTCAGACAAACATTTCTGTGGATTACACCTACAGTTTTCTAATGGGAAAATAAAAGAACCCTAATAATCCCTTCCCTACAGATGATATTGTGTAACTGAGGCCACACTCATACATTTTCTATTGTTAAACAACATTATTAATTGTAAGGATAAAAAAAATGTGAATAGTATAGTATAATACAATGCATACAAAACCACAAACATCTAAGTGTACTTTGGCCAACCACATAATAATTGACTAGCCATATAGAGCTCTTTATGCACTTATTTTTATAGATGCAATGTTTGGAAGAAAGGATGGCACAACATATATTGTAAAAGGAAAAGCACACATACATCACTCATAAACAGGTCACACAGCCTGATAATTGCTATGTATCCTCAATGGAACTATGTTACCAGTGCACTGTTATTATGTTAGGCCTAGTTGAAGGCTCCATATTACAAATTTTATGTTTACGGCTGTGCCATATGTGAAGGGTTTCACTCATTATTTATGACAATCGTTGTTCTTGGAAATGTCTGTTCTACTCAATGGGATCTAGGGCCCTCTGGGAATCTAGTTACCATCCCCTGGACTTCATATCGAGAAGCCATATGGCTTTTAAAGAAAAAGTAAATAAAAGCCATCCTTTAGCAGGTTTGGGAGCTGTGTCCCTCCCTGCTAATGTCTTCTCCTGGAATATGATTTTAAACACTTTTTACAGTTTTAGTATCATTACTCTCCCTTTAAATTGGTATATTTTTTCTTACTAAGAGTTCATGTACACTGCAGCTGATAAACTGATGTTCAGGAGCTTTTCTGCATTTTTTTCAGCAGCCCCTGAACTCTCCCTAATGTTTTCCTATGTGTTCATGTACACTATGTCATTTACAGTCGTTTACAGGCAGTCGTTTATTTTGAATGCACCAAACATGCAATCAGGAGTAGATTTTATCAGCGTTTCAAACGGCAAATGCTTGTAAATGCGTGTAAACGCGTATAAAACGCTGCTAACCGCGTTTATAAGCATTTGCGTTTAGAAGCGTTTTTTAACTGTTCCATATCCAAATGCTGTCCAGAGCCTTTTTTATCAACAGAAATGCATGCAAATTTTTTTCTCTCAATCTGGTCAGAACCGATTGTTGAATCATCCATTTTAACTTAAATAAACGAAAAAAAATTTCTAATGAAATTCTACAGGTAGGACAGGCTTTAGGATACTGTATATACAGTCATGGCCAAAAATATTGGCACCCCTGAATTTCTGTCAGATAATGCACCACTTCGCCCAAAAAATTGTTGCAGTTACAAATGTTTAGGCATTCTAGTGTGTTTATTTCTTTTGTTTGTATTGTTATGACATAAAAATGTTGAGTAACAAAAAGCCAAATCTGACACATTCCACGCAAAACTCCAAAAAAGGACTGGACAAAATTATTGACGCCTTCGTAAAATTGTAAGAAATAATTGCATTCCAAGCTTGTGATGCTCCTGTAATTTGTAATTAAACTCACATGTATTAATTAACAGGTGCTGACAATATAGAAATCACCACCGGCAACCAGTTGAAATGGTGAATATTGACTCAACCTTTCTGTTGTGTGTGTCTCTGTGTGCCACATGGAGCATGGAGAAGAGAAAGAGCAGCAAAAATTATCTTAGCATATGAGAACAAAAATTGTGGAAAAGCATGGACAATCTCAAGGTTACAAGTATATCTCCAGAGATCTTAATGTTCCTGTGTCCACTGTGCACAACTTTGTCAAGAGGTTTACAGCCCATGGCACTGTAGCTAATCTGCCTGGACGTGGACAAAAAAGAAAAATTGATCAAAGATTGCAACAAAGGATTGTTCGAATGATAGCTAACGAACCTCGATCAACTTCCAGACAAATTCAAGCTGACCTTCAGGCACAAGGTACAACTGTGTCAGCTCGCACTATACATCGCCAACTGGATGAAAAGGGATGCTATAGGAGATCCAGGAGGACCCCACTGCTAACACAGAAACATAAAAAAGCCAGATTGCAGTTTGCCAAAACGTACATGAGGAAGCAAAATCCTTTTAGGAGAATGTGCTGTGGCAGCTTTATGGTAAAGCCCATCATCCTACTGTTTTCAGAAAAAAGCAATGAGCTCTTTAAAGAAAATAATACAGTCCCAACAGTGAAACATGGTGGAACTTCACTAATGTTTTGGGGTTGCTTTGCTGCTGCAGCCACTGGATGTCCTGACCATGTGCGTGGCATTATGAAATCCAAAGACTTCCAAAGAATTTTGGCATGCAAAGTAGGGCCTAGTGTTAGAAAGTTGGGTCTCCGTCAGAAGTCATGGGTCTTACAGCAGGACAATGACCCAAAGCACACGTCAAAAAGCACCCAGAACTGGTTTCAGACAAAGAGCTGTAGAGTACTGAACTGAGTCCAGATCTCAATCCCATAGAGCACCTGTGGCAAGATCTCAAAACAGCAGTTGGGAAAAGGAACCCTTTCACTCTGAGAGACCTGGAGCAGTTGGTGAAAGAAGAGTGGTCCAAAATTCCAGTGAAGAGGTGTAAGAAACTTATTGCTGGTTACAGGACGCAATTGATTTCAGTTATTTTTTCCAAGGGGTGTGCTACCAAATAATACATTTAGAGTGCCAATAATTTTGTCCTGTCCATTTTTGAGGGTTTTGCATGGAATGTGTCAGATTTGGCTTTTTGTTTCTTCATTTTTCGTGTCATACCAATACAAACAAAAGAAATAAACATGAGAAAGCCTAAATATTTTGTAACTGCAACAATTTTCTGGGCAAAGTGGTACATTATCTGACAGAAAAGCAGGGGTGCCAATATTTGTGGCCATGCCTGTACATAAGTCTGCCTACAACCTTTGACGTAACACAAAACAAAGCAGGTATTAATTACAAGGCATCCCATGTGAAAAGTGTCATCTGAGCCTTCTACTCTTCCTGTTAATAAGGAGACCTCACCTCTTGTATTTAAAACCGGGGTCATTCATTATAGTTTCATATTTGCTTAATGGACATGTTTCCCCTCTACAATCATTAGAGGAAAGCTTCATCTCTACAAATTTCTTTATAGGATTTCCCTACAGAATGTAAACTAGATACCTTTTTTGCATACAGAATTGTATCCAGCACAAGTAAATAAACAAAGACTCCTGACTGTCATTTAAATAGACTGTCACATTTTTGGGGGTCTGTATCCTGTCCCAAATTCTTACTAAAATGTTCCTTTTTTAGCACTGCTGTTGAGATTTATATATATACATGTACTATTTAAATA